TTTTGGATTTTTTTGCTAGGAAAATTTCAGATCGACTATAGCCCCCACTCCCTCCCCTATTCTTCTTCAGTAAGAGGTGGGACATTGAAAGAGCAGAAGTAAAACCCTATTGGTTTGAGGAACTCCTGATTCATGATGGTTGTTTTTGGTCTCTTTTGGAAAAGAGCCAAAACTGTTGTAATTATTTCTGCTTCAGAGATTGGAGGGAGGAAGATATAACTGGGAAAATGATATCTCAAGATGGAAAGGCACGCAAAGCCTCCAGCTGTAGATTTCTCTCTCTTTTTCTCTCCCTCCCTCCCTCTCTTTTGCTTTCTCTCCTTGGAAGAGATGCTATCATCCAAGAACTTGCCCTTTTAGCTGTATGCATGCAAAAGATGTTATGTTATAGATCCAGGATACAAACAGAGACTGATTCTGAATTTCTACTGTAGATTCCACTCTACTGTTGGGTCACAAATCTCTTTTGCATGATTTTCTTGACTCACAAGGATCCAGCCGAGTTCAACTCTTTGAAGCAATTTCATTTTCAAGCAATCCCATTCAATCTGATAGAAACAAACTCACCCCCAGGAGGAGAAAAAGATGGTGAAACTCCAGAAGGACAGAACTTCAACTATCAGCCCTCTGTATTGCATGTAAACTATCCAAGGCTGGTAGCTGACCTTCAGGACTAGTATCTGGGTTTGACCCTAATTGTCTCATAGTGACCCTCACACCCCCACACCCAGACACATCTCCCCATATCTCAGTATTTTTTTAGGGTTTCCTTCTTCTGTCCCTCCTGCAATGGCTTTGCTTTTGGCTCTGAAGAGTTTCAGCTTCCATTGACTCAAGAAAAGGGGCACTTGTGTGATCTCCTAAACATCTGGCTGTTCCTTCAAGCCTCAAAAATATTGTCAGGAAATGTTGCACATTAAGCAGGGGACAGGCCTGCTCTGTCAACATAGAACTGGCTCATTCCATGAAATTTCCTGACAGTGTTTTGAATGAGGATGTAATAAAAAAGGTACACTCCGTCTTAACGAGCAAATGAGTCATTTCAATATTTTCATGAGGCTAATGCACTGAATGAAAATACAGGCACAGTGGACGTACCAAGGGCAGGGAAGAACTGGCCATGAACTTGTTTTTGCTGCTAAGTAATGACTTCCATATGGGTATGTTTGCCCATGTGCAGTGGCAACTCAGACCTTAAACAACAAATTAAATGTGGACCATACAGGGATAGATTGGCCAGACTTTCCTCAACATTGATAAAAGTCCAGTTCATATATAGGACATGTATCCACGCATGTTTTCAATCAGGTGCACTTCAGACTTTCCATTGGAATCAAACTATCTTCTTAGCTGCAGCTGACCCTTACGTTCTTCATGTTTTCAGAGTAAAATGTAACCTCGCGTTCCTATCTTTAACCCAATTATTACTTCCTCAGGTTGTATATTACGAACAACCTAAAGTCCCACTTTATAGAGGAAAGTCCTCCATTTGAAGATAACATTTCTGTGGGGGACAAGAGGCAGATTTGTAAATATCTCCTGCTAAAGACATGGGGTCAACCTCAGAAACTATATTCTAAATAAAACTGAGATACTGTATTACCTGTGATAGTGAAATATCCTGCAGGTCAGTAGTTCAATGACCCTGTATCTTGTAGATTAGGTGTTCTGTCTAATTTCCTGATGTTCCTTCTTCTTAGCAGTTTCACTGTCTTTAGATTCAGACTCAATTTCCTCATCAGTTTCACTTCTTTAGATTCAGACTCAACACCCCTTCAAGGAAAGGATTGCTCCTGGATAGCTCTTTAAATCGATGACCACCAACTGTAACACAGGATGTGTGACTGTCATTTGGGTCCTATCAAAGGATCCTATCATACTGGCTGGGGAATTCTGGCAGTTAAAGTCCACACATCTTAATGTTGCTGGGATTGAGAAACACTGGACCAAAGAATAAGGAAGAACATACCAAAATTAATTTTTACACACCAGTATCCCGTAACTAAGTGAAGGATGTCAGTTTTGGAAGATAAAATGTACATATTTCAAGGACATCCGATTAGAGAAGTGTTGTAGTAAAAAAAAAGGGGGGGGGCTTTAAAAGGCAAATGAAATTTCTTGAAATTAGCAAATCTTAGCCTGGTCTGTATCTAAGTGGGAGACCACCTGGAGAAGTTGTGAATGCCACCCTGAGTTCCATTCTAAAAACAAATGCACTGGATTTCACAGTGGAAAAAAAGTTGAAAGACTAAATCACATGCAATAATCAATTCTTCCCTTCCCCCCACGTAAATATTTACACATTCTACATCAGGCTCCAAACTTTTTCAGTCTTTCTCTTGGTTCTCTATTATCACTCCTTGTCAAGCCCCACACAGGTGGACAAGATCCAGAAAGCAAGAACTACACATATTTCAGTCAGGCATCTTTCATGTTGCTCTGGGGCAAATGCAGAATCTTGGAAACCGGAGTAGGAATTTCCCATGAATTAATTAAGGTTTGAGAAACTTTGAGATACTTCCTTCCTGTTTTATCCCCACCTGGGCTGATACGCCACTTATAAGCTGTCCACTAACTCATTCATTCTGTCACCTCTATCTTCTTCCACACAATCTCTCTCATTCTCTCACGTAGAGGTCAGCTTTCCCCAAGTGGATATCCATATAGGTGTTGGCACTACCAGGAATGAGAAATTTGGGCAGTGTAATTCCAACACATCTGGAGAAGACTTCTCAAGGTCACCAGGTTCATTTCACTGACCGTTATCTAAACAGTGGTCATCAGTCAAGGAAAGAGTGACTTCTTATTTCATCATTTTAGTGCTGCTTGAGTGAGATGCTCCCAGACAGCAGTATTTCTGATGACAGGATATTGTTTCACACATAAATATTTGATTCACATGCCATACTGATCATACACAGCAGCTTCATGTGATGATATGGGTTACCAACACAGAGATCAGGGCAGAAGATTATCTTTGTCATGTCAAAGAGCTTTTCAATGGTCAAATTCACACTAGCAGATGCTGGTCATCACCTAGTAAATCCTCGGGCGTGTTATTTTTTCTGAGTTTCGTAATGCTTTGGTTTGTATTATGTATATTTTTCATAACTGTATATGCCACCCAGGTCCTTATGGTTGTTGAGTTGTCTGGAACCACATAATAAACAAACAGATCTGTACTGAATTGAAATATACCTTTAGCAAAATCGAATCAGAGGCTTCAGCAAGGGCCAAGTAATAAAGCATTATTATGCCAAAAATGCAATTTACATACTTGCATCAGACATCAGGACACAAGTGGGCAAATTTGCCTTATGTCATCACTGCAGGTTGCTTTGACATTATCTTAGTTAACTACAAGTCCCTATGTCTATAATGTTATCTTATATTTACTCCAACTTCATCTCTCCCCTTGCACAAATAAACAAACTAGAAAGCAATGCCCAAACCCAGAATTATGGTTTATTGCCCCTAACAAGCCAGAAGTGAACTCATTAATAAACCATGATTAGCAGCCAAGATCCATTGCTCCCTCCTCCTTGTTAGGACTCAGATATGTGTGATTAATAGCAAGCAACTAAACCTTTCCTTCTCCCTGTGTTTGAAGCTGCTTCTCCCACCCCCTACATTTCTCTCACATCTATTTTGAATTCAAGGACAAGAGAAATATTTAGAATGATGGTCAGAATGTAGCAGCAAAAAGGGAAAGCAAACAGCAAGTATGGGATATATCTGACTTAAACCTGATGGATTTCAGTTGGTTTGCTCTAACTATGATTAAGCCTAGATCAAACTCAAAATCTTACAAATCACATATACAGATAAAGTCCGGGTGGTTCTATTGCTCATCAGAATTCTTCAGTATTGTATAAAATATGATATATAAATATTCCTAAGCCACTCTTTGCAGCAAACAGCCTTTCTAGCAATGTTCATAGAAGGACAGGTGTCTGCAAGAAATATGTTTCCTGTAATGTAATTATAAACACTTTAGGATAGAAATAGGACGATCCATTGCTCAGTGACAATGCATGTGCTTTCCATGCCAAAGTTCTCAAGTTCAGGTGCTGGTTTTTCAAGGTGAGGCTAGAAAAGAGCTTTGTCTGAAACCCTGGCAATACTGCAAGGCTAAATGATCAACGGTCTACATCATAGGATGTAGCTCCCAAAATTTCGAGCTACCGTTTCAACAGCTTTGACCCTAAATCCTCAAACTAGCAGAGGTTCCCTTTATTCGAGGATCCAAACTCCTCCATAGATTCCCCCAATGTTATGGAGAAGTAATCAAGAACACTTCTCTCCCCCTTTCTTCTAACAGCAGGGGGGAAAATATGATGAACAGAAGCCCATTCCATCAGCAAGAGCAAACTCAGAATCTAAGCTAGCATTTTCCATTCTTTCCATTCCAACAAATTAAGTTTCAGAGCAAAAGCTACAAAGAAGTGAATTAGAATAACCAATCTTGTCTATTTCTCATCCAGAGGATGCACTTGGAAATAGATCTGATTATCTGAGAAATCCAAGGACACTCCACAACCCTAGCCACAGATGTTCAAAGTAGCCCATCTAAAACGCAGATTTGGGGCTTCAACCCACAACAAAGACTTTAATTTCTTTTGCTTTGATGGCAAATTTGGCACTATATCCCAGGTCTACCTCATGACAGACCATTCAAGGGTAATGGGGAGATAGGAACTCCAGTGGCATAAAGTGTTGCAAGCAACCTGGGCTTCCACACCAAGGTCAGAAATGCTTTGTTTTGTAGGACAAGTGAATCTTCTCTACTCTTGTTTTGACGTTGCTTGTGTTGTCTAATCTGAAGCAATGCCCTTGTTATAAAACAAAGGGAACCGTGGAACAGGACTCATTAGGTAGCAGGATCAACAAAAGGGGAGCAAGACATCGGTTGAAGCTGACTGTAGAGTCTTTCAGCCTCTTCCATCCTTGGAAGTTCATTTACATTTCCATCCACAGCCGAACAGATTGATGTGGACAAAATGCTTCTGGAAACCCTGAATCCGATGCACTATAATATCACCAAAGTGGTATCTGAAAGCATTCCAGCAGTAGCCACCGTCCCACTCTTGCTCTTGATGGGATTCCTTTTCCTGATATGGACTTGTGAAGAAACATCTTCCATCCCAGGTAGGTTTTTCAAAAGACAAGGTATAGCCTGTCCCCAAGTTTAAACATGGCAAGTTTAATCTGATCCTTTAAAGATCTGGACATTATATTGACAAAGCATTCTATGCTTGGTTAATGCTAACCTGTTTGTTATTGGAGACTTAACACGCTGTGCAGCTGTCATACGACAACATGCTATCAATTCCTGTACTCCCTTTGTGCGAGTAATATGCAATGTACTATGTTTTATGGATGTCTACTCAGGAGTAAATCCCACTGAATAAAATGGGGCTTGTTGGTGGGTAAGTGGGCCTCCTTATGCTGAATGTGTTCAGCTTTATATGGTGATGAATTCCCCCTGAATTCAGTTAAACTTATTTCTATACAGATATCAGTGCCTTTGTTCTAAAACATATTTATTTTGCACAAACACTGCTAGAACCATTGACTCATTGGTCATACTGAAACATGAAAGTAGCATCCAGAGCCACTGAGTGTCAGACAGTTCTGGCACAAAATGTTGGTTTTAGCACATCTGGTTAAATCAGATGTTCAAGCTGCACCCTAAAGGCTGTTTTTCTAGTTTGGGTTTGGTTCTTTTTTTTTTTTCCCGCCTGAATCATACATCTACTGCAGGAAGAACTTAACCCCAGCTAAGAAAGGAAGACATTTTTGCCAAGCCATATGGGACAATCACCAGCCCTGCTCTTTGAACAGTTTCGCCATCCCTGGGGAAACTGGTCAGGACAGAGGCTGGTGGAAAAAGACCTGAATTTCCAGATGACTTGCAGTAAAGCAGCTTTTTCAAACTCCCAATGACTGAATAATAATGAATACAGGAATGCTTTTCTCCTTACTACTAAATTAGACTGCAGAAGGATGTGGTGGGGCAGGAGAGGTGTGCAGATGGAGCTTGTAATAAGCTCCATGTCCAAATGTAGCTAAGAGGCTCTTTGCCCGCGATGCTATTTGAGTTCACCCATGATGCTACACTGAGCTAGTTTAGATATTTCGTGGTTCAGTGTATAAACCCAGTCATTGTCTTATTCATACTGCTGTGTGAATCAGGCTATCACATCATACTGCATTATGGTTTATTTGTTTGGGGATAGCACCTTGTGTGAACATAACAATGGTGCTCAGGATTTGGCCCAGTGTGAGAATACAGCCACTATGACTACCTTACTGAAGGTAAAGAGGGCCTCTCTGTAGCAAAAGAACCTATTTGGTTTTAGAAAGGGCTCTAGATTTTGTCCCCGTAGTGTGTAAACAGAGAGTTCTGTTTAGGTCAAAAGGAAACTACAAGTATTCTGTTGCAAAGGACACTGCAGGTTATGATCTCTCTGTTCTGCCTGTATGATTTCCAGAAGCATCTGGTAGCTGGCAGGAAGAGGAGACAGCTTGTTGAATTCAAACCACCAGATCATGACCTTGGAGCCGGTGGCATTCAGTCCAAGCTAAATCAGAATTAAGCTAGGCAGTTTTAAATAGCAGCAATACAAAGATGTCTTCAAATCAGACTTGATTGTGGGTGACAGCATGCCTTGACACAGCTTACCTGGCAATGCTATGGAAGTCGCTGCCATTGTCTTCTTCCAGGATGGGATTTTGACTTTCTAGCCTAGTCTACACTTCTGGAACTTCCTAGTGGTTTTCTGTCCAAGTGCTAGCCAGAGCCAACCTTACTTAGCTGCTGAAGTCACCAAACATTGACCAGGTGCTGCTGTTAAAGTGAGTTCCGTTGAGTTCATTGGGTTCATCTCAAGTCTGAGAATAAATTTTTCCAACAGGGTGACTGGCCACAGATTCTGTATATGCTAATATTTAGTTCACTGGCTTACATGGTATTAATGTCTGCTGTAGACAGGAATGGAGAACCTGGTCCTACCGAAGTTGCTGAACTGCAGCTCCCAGCATCTTTAACCATTGGTCAGCCTGGTGGAGACATCAGAAGCTGTCATTTAGCAATATTTGGAGATCACAGGTTCCCCACTCCTATCCCACATTTGTACTTCCAACTCAGCCATCTCTTAGGGCCATGTAAAGCTCTCCTTTATTGCCCTTAGACCACATTGTAAGCATTAATGTGGTTTGTTAGTTTGTGGCTTAGCATCTGGTATGACCTCATCCGTTCCAGTTAATAAACCATATTTTATGGTTTTTGTGGGAAACTGGCCAGGGCGGTTTATTCTGTAAGCCATGATGAAACACCCCATCTTTCAGCATGTTCAGTGAACACAGGGTATATTATTAAAATATTATATTTACTGCTGATAAAATCCTTAATTGACCCTTCCTTCCTTCCTTCCTTCCTTCCTTCCTTCCTTCCTTCCTTCCTTTCTTCCTTCAACTGACCTTCCTCCTATTGCCTTTTAGGGCCCGGCTACTGTATGGGACTCGGCCCACTGATTTCTCACTGGAGGTTTCTCTGGATGGGAGTGGGCAGTGCCTGTAATTATTACAACAAGATGTATGGAGAGTTTATGAGAGTCTGGATCAATGGAGAAGAGACCCTCATTATTAGCAAGTAAATAATACTTAACGACTTAACGACTAAACAACAACAACAACAAATCTTTGTTCTCTGTGAATAAGGGGCCAAAGGGACAGCTGAGCAATAAAGCCCATGAGGTCTTTCTGCTTATGTTCTTCTCTTGCTCACTGGACTGAACTGACTATAGAATTAAATCTGCGCTGCTTTGAGAGAGGTCCTCTTTTAGAGGACAGCAGTCCTGGGTTTGAAAAGGATGGTCATCTCTTTTCCCTGTCCTCTTTTCCAAACTAAGTATATCTGGGGCTTCTTAACTGGGATTTATTTATTTTTTTAACACAAACTGGTGCTCTGCCACAGAGCAATAATCTTATCCCAACCCACTACCCCGAGTCGTTTTCCTCCCTGCCCTGAAAGTTCTCACTGGTTCGTTTGTGGGCTGTTCTACCTAGCCTAGTTCTAGTTTAGAGAGCAGTTCATCCCTTCATTTTTTCCCCCTGCAACTTGGCTGCTGTTTTTTTCCCTCTCTTTAAACGATTGAACAGACATTTTTAAGCTTCTATCGCCCTCTAAAGGGAATTCAGTTTCGTGGCTGTCGGCATCCATCCAAGCCCAGATGAGGAGAAGCCAATTTTCTAGCTCATCTGAGCGCAGCAAAATAGTCAGATATATTACCACTTTCATTACCTACTCTATCACCTACCCTTGGCAGACTGTAAAAATCCAGGCAAATAGGAGAAGGAAGCAAGTGGCAGCTATAGCCAAGAGGCCTTTGCAAAAATCCACCTCGTGGGCCAGGTGGACCCGTTCCTAGATTGGGAGGCACTGCTTTAGTCCTATCCTGGTTGGACTATTGTAATGTGCTGTACACGGGGTTGCCCTGGAAAAGCTGGTCCTGCTCTGGGTAGACTTTGGGTTGCGATTTGAGATGCTGGTTCTCAGGTCTAAAGTGTTACATGATATGGAGGCCAAGTCACTTGGAGGATCCCCTGCCTTCTCGCAAGGTCTGCCAGGGTGGGCATGCTCTGGGTACCCTCTGTAGAGGAATGTCACTTGGTGGGACCCAGGAGGTATGCCTTTTCCATGGTGGCACCTGCCCTATTGAACAAGATGAGATTCAGGCCCTGCTGGCCTTCTGGAAGACCTTGAAGATCTGACTTTTCCCCCAGAGACATTGGGCTGGGATATTGGTGTTCGATGTTATGCTACCAGAAAAATGTTAAGAGCACCCTGACTATTCTCATCTGGATTTAGAGGCCACCTAACTCTAAGTGACTCTGGGCAGCTTACCTCTTCAAAAATAGGAAACACTAAAATGAAATGAAATGCCTGGAGCAAACAATCCAATCCATTAAAACAATAAATAAATAAATAAGAGGCTCCACAGCCATTGGGGACAGAGTTCTTGCAAGTTTGCACATTCTCTCGTACTACTTTAGTTGGTCATAAGTAAGGCATCAATTTAACCAAGTGCAAAATTTTGGATAATTTTTCCCCCTGAACCCATTCAGTTACATGTACGTGATTGACCTTGGGGATTGGAACCTGGGCAAACTGACAAGAGCTGTTGATGAAACATCTTTTTCTTCCACCTAGATCATCAAGCATGTTCCATGTCATGAAACATGGACACTACAGCTCTCGATTTGGCAGCAAACCTGGTTTAAAGTGCATTGGCATGCATGAAAATGGCATCATCTTTAATAATAATCCAGCTCTTTGGAAAGAAATCCGACCATTTTTCACGAAGGGTAAATATATTGAGTTTGGCCTTCCCACTGTGACTCTGCCTTTGTGTCTGTTTCTGAATTAAAGTATAGAAGGAGAAGGGGGGGGGGAGAAATTATGGAGTTAGAGCAAACCAGGTGGATAGACTTTGTGGCATGACTAGTTTTACCATTAAGTAAAATGAGATAGCCAGCAAGTTAGCTGGACCATAGGGCAAAATCTAGGTTTTTGCAATCATGGAGGGAGAGCTGAGTAGCCAATTTAAGCACAACAGGTATTCAAGGCAACCATTCATGCAGGGGCTCACCAAGATTGACCTGATGAGTCATAATAGCTTTTCTTTCTTCTTCTAATTCAAGCAAAAATATATAATCAGAAGATCATTGGCTGGGCATGTTTGTAAGTAGAGATGCCTGTTTCATTATTTTTTATTTAAAACTCCATTGCATAACGATAGAATTTTATTATGGTTACAAATATTTCCTTTTTTCTAACCCAGGCAACAACATATTGTGGCCCATTGAGTATTTGTTTGATTAATCCCCATTAATTGCAGCAATTCTGTCTTTTCCCATGAATGGCCTTTCAATAGGAAGAGGAGAGAAAGAGAAGAAGTGGTAGTGAGAGATGGGAAAGTTATAACTGAAGGTTCTGAAGTTGAATTGCCCATCTCTGGAGCACAGCAGGTTAGGGTAGATGCTTTATATACTAGGACATACTGGCTGGGGAATTCTGGGAGCTGAAGTCCACACATCTTAAAATTTCTGGGGTTGACAAACACTGCCCTAGAGGAATTGAAACGAGAGGAATCAAACTCAACTAAAAAGAAGCATTGCTACTACTGGACTTAAAATCCATTAGTCAGTTTGTTTTGGGGTGAAATACAAAGTAGGAGTTTTCGAAGCCTTAATGACTTGGGTCCAAACCTCCTCCTTCTGCTTGATCTTCAGCACTCCTTAGTACTGTGGTGTCCTGGGTGCTCTCTGAGCTGGGTGCTCTCTGAGCACTTAATATATCTTAAGTAAACCAAAACATCTTAAACATCTTAAGTAAAACAAAAGATCCAGTAGCCCAAAAAGCAAAAACAGGAGCCATCTACAGCATACAGTATAAGGACTATAATAGCCAGCATGTAGAACAGACAGGGAGAAGACTAGCAGAGCTTATCCATGAACACCAATTAGCAGTCAGAAGACACAATGAAAACTCAGCCTCCTAGCCCAAGCTAAATTCAAAAACATTAGGGAATTCCTGGAAGCTTGGCATTCAGGCAAATGAGTCATAAATAGACACATAGAGATAAACCACATTTACACACTGTTCAAAAGAGACAATAAAAAAAAGCTAAGAAGGAAACAAAAAGACCAGAACACATCCTTTCAGCTAACACCCAGATAAGCAGGGATTGACACCAGACAAACAATCAAGCAGAGAACAATACCCAATCAAGGAACTACCAAGGAGAAAACCACACCCCCACCAACACTGGCAGGACAAGCTACTGCAGATAAACAGGGAGCAAACTCCACACCCACTAGCACTGATGATGTTAGCTAGTCAGGTAATGAAATGTCTGCAAGCCAACAACCAAGCTCAGAGAGCACCAAGAACTCCACAGTTCAGCCCTGAGCTACAGAGACTCACTTTGCAGTGAGCTCCTTACTGTGGTTAGAGAAAAAGAGTATATTTGATAATTTTCAATAAAGTTCTAAAAAAGCATTTCTGTGGCCTGATTTTTCATAGAAGATAATGCTGGAGGCAACCATTAAGGCCTTCAAGTCTAGAATTAATTAAAGCATCTCCAGCAGATGCTCGTTCCGCCTCTGTTGGTCTTTGGCTTCACCTTCAGAAGACTAATATTCTAACTAGGAACTATTTCAGTTTTGATGGGTTTTAGGGCTATGATTATTTTAGTTGTTTTTAAGTTTGCAATTATTTGTTATTTTGACATTTATTCCTGTAAATTGCCTAGATAGGTGAGGGAGAACCATAATAGGATATTTGTAAAATTTCAGCCCTTTCTGGACCGGGTCTTGTGAGGATGATAGCCATCTGTGTGGAATCAACAATTGAACACCTAGACCAATTGGAGAAAGTGATCACTGAGTTTGGACATGTCAACACCCTGAATCTTATGAGGTGCATCATGCTTGACACTTCAAACAAGCTTTTTCTTGGCATTCCTCTTGATGGTAATATATATAACTACTCTATTCTCACAGAGTTCTTGGTCTTCTGAAATGAACATGGATGCATCTTCAGTCAAAACTGCAGAAATCAAAAGCATCAGAAGATTAGGGTTAGATTAGAGCATGCTTAATCAGGATACAATAGTGACTGCTTGACTGGATGATTGTTGCTCCTGAGATAGCTTCTGATCTCCAAGAGATTTTTCTGGTGTTAAGTCCCTTTGTAAACCCTGGAAATTAAGGCCAGGATTGGCAACAACAGTGTCATGATGGGGGAAAAAAAGTACAGTCCAGGACATATCAAGGATCTTGACTTGGCCATTACAGCCCATGACATTACTGTTCCTTTTCAAACTTGGATTTATAACCTGAACTCAGACTATCCTGTTCTTGTAATTTCAGAAAATGCCATTGTGCTTAAAATCCAAAACTATTTTGATGCTTGGCAAGCGCTTCTCCTGAAACCTGACATTTTCTTTAAGATCTCTTGGTTCTACAAGAAGTATGAGAAGTCTGCGTAAGTAGCATTTATAGGTTTGTGGATCATGCTATCTGAGAGATAGATCTTCCTCAGCACGGCAACAGAAAAGGAGAAAAGGAAGACTCTGCTCGTACTGATTTCATTCCGTTTCTTATATTCACAACTGTATTTTCATTCTGGCCTGTTTCCACATTAATGTGTGAATTCAGGAGGGAAAAAAGTATGCATAAAATATACATTTCCATGCATATTTCTCCAAGTCCATGAATTTCTGTAAATACTTTTCCAAAGTTGCACACATACCATGGGGATCCTTAAGGGTAAGTGACAAAATGGGCATTATGAAGTTGTGATACAAATGTTGTCCCTTTCATTCTTGCATCACAATGCCCATTTCATCTTTTGGACAAAGTCTCAGTTTACTGCAGACACCCATGTCATGTCCGACAAGCCATCTTTTCATTATATAATGCATTTTGCTGACATTGTTTTTTTCAGATACCCAGCTATTATATACTCCATAGTTCATTGGTTAGTATAATTGTGACCTCTCTTAATTGGTTAATGTGGTTTATTTAATAAATCACTTGGAGCCAAATGTTGGTGTTGGGAATCAATGAACTCAGTCTTAATCTGACAATGACGAACTCTTTGGGGTATGTTTAAGCTTCTTGACTATCAAAAGTCAAGAAGCTTAAACTTGACCCTTGCTAATTTGGATAATCTTGAAAAAGCTATGCAGACTCAGGCCTGATTAGTATTGGAATGGAAGGCCACCAGAAAATTCCAGAACTATGGACTACATTGCAACATAAAGAAAAATCCTGGAAGAAGCCAATGAAAAACATTTCCATATTATAGTTCATTACATAGATATATCCATGAAGTCCTCAGGAGTTAAACTCTATTCAAAGATTTGTCCTCTTGAATTTACTTACCATTAAAAGTCTGAGGGTTTACCATGGGGTTAATCTGTGAAGGGCCGGAACGTGTGCTGTCTAATTCCTACCCACTGATCTTGCAATTGCTCTATTCGAAGAGTCACCTAGGTCTCTTCCAGTGGTACTTACACAAAGGCATAGAACATTTGCAGACATTTAGTGATGAACTGAATTTCTCCTCCTTCAGGAAGGATTTGAAAGAAACCATTGAAATCTTAATTGAGCAAAAGCGACAGAAGCTCTCCACCATTGATAAGCTGGAGGAACATATGGATTTCTCTTCACAGCTGATTTTTGCCCAGGTAATCTTGATGGAGATATCATTTGTATCTTCTTGCTCTACAGCAATGGGGAACAATAACAGAAATCGGCGGGGGGGGGGTCCCATCGGACATAGCTCTTTTATATTAGGAAAGACTCTTCATCTATTCAGTACTGCCTGCACAGTTTCAGTGGAGGTATTTCATGGGATCTGCTACCTGATTCTTTTAACTGGAGATACCCACAGTGGCATCTGAGACTGCCTCTTGTTTCCACTGCAAGGCAAGTGTAAATGACTATACTGGGTTCAGCTTTCCTGTGGTGTGAAGCCACATTGCGCTAATTGGAGTCCAGCGTCCCAATAACTTGAGACTGACAGACATGACCCGCCTGCTTCAAATTTGCAGAGCCGCGGTGAGCTAACTGGCGAGAATGTGAATCAGTGTGTTTTGGAGATGCTAATTGCTGCCCCTGATACACTGTCGGTGACCCTGTTCTTCATGCTGGTGCTGATTGCAGAACATCCTCAAGTGGAGGAGGCAATGATGAAGGAAATTCAGACTGTGATGGGCAAGTATCTAGAGACACTGGTGGCGAATGGTGGTTTTTCTAATAATCTAGTGTTTGTTTTCAGTTGAAAAGAGCCCAAACAATGAATGATCCTTTTTATACTGGGATTGCCAGTTGATTAATAGTGTGGGGGGGGGGGATGAAAAAGGCCTGCCCGCCTCTTATAATTTTGGAAAGGGCGTGATGTGCAGACATCAGATTGGGCTACTGCTTTGTTCTCTCTTCCGAGCTGCTTTTGCCAACAGTCTGAAAACTGCATTGTTCCCTGAACATTTTATGGTTAGAATATATCACTGATTGGATTTCAGCTGCAGTTACCAGTGTCCCACGACCGGCACCACTCCCCTGGATTAAATTTTGTAGTGTGAAGCCAAAATCTGTCCTCCAGCTTTTAGGGAAAAAAAGGTCTACTACAAGTAGATTTCATTTTTCTGCCTCATTCTGAGACTCTTTAGAATTCTGGCTAATTTCTTTGGGTGATCTCTGGAAAATTCTTTGTTCTGAAATCATCAGGAATGACGCAAAGATTTACAATGTTATTGCACCTTTTCCTATTCGCCTGCTTATATTTCCTCAACTGAAAAAAATGTCATGGGAGGAATCACAGTGGGAAGAAACATCTTCTTAATGGCTTTACACCAGCAGTAGAAGGAAGGATGTTTTTATAATAAACCACCATTGTTAACATGTTGAAAAATGAATTCTGAAACATTGCCTACATTGCAAACCATGCAGACATGTTCTAGTCATTCCTTAAAAAAGATAAGCAAACACATTTCACCTGTTTTGTCCTGCTTGCTTCTCAAAGGTGACAGGGAGATTCAAACTGATGACATGCCAAAGCTAAAAGTAGTTGAGAACTTCATCTTGGAGAGCATGAGATACCAACCAGTTGTGGACTTGGTCATGCGCAAAGCCTTGCAGGATGATGTGATTGATGGCTATCCTGTGAAGAAAGGAACAAACATTATTCTGAACATCGGGCGTATGCATAAGCTTGAGTTCTTCCCAAAGCCGAATGAATTCTCACTTGACAATTTTGAAAAGAGTGTAGGTATTTTGTTTTGTTCTAAATATTGCTTCATGTTTTGTTTAAGAAACAAGATTTTGTGGGTCAGGTTGAACACCCAGTATCTCCAAGTACCTGCCTACACTCCAAGGCTCCTGCTTACACTCCAACGTTCACTCCATGAACCCCTAACTTATCATACCCTCCTCAGTTTCTGGTTCTCTAAGAAGGACAAGAGCTGCCCTTTAAATGAGAAGCAGTTTCTAAATTTTTCATGACATTTGCAGAGATTTTATGGTTAATATTTCCAAATTTCTTTTGACAAGTTCAATTAAAACTTTACTCTTTGTGGATAGGGTCTGGAGTGGTAATGGGAGATCTTATATTATTATATGGGAGTATATATACTATTATTCTAGCTTGTGGAGTCTGGATGGAGAGGATGTTCTCCAGCATGAGTTCTACCACCTGTGGTCTTGATCCACACCCTCCCTGACTCCTTTGGGCAGCTAATGTGTGAGTTAATGAGTGAGTGAAGAGCTGGGTCCAGAAAGCTAGCAATACTTCTTGGGGGAGGAGATTGTTCTGGCTGCCTTTAAATAGGTGCTGAATAGTTTTCCTGGATCTGGCTGTATTGGATTATTATCATCTTGCTTCCAATCTGCTTGTTTTAGGAAAAGTTAAGAAGGTGCATAGCTCCAGCTCTAGAGTGCCCTCTAGAAAGTGGATTATCTGGACCTTATTGGTCAGGGTTCATGCCTTGGGACAGAAATGGTATTGGTCTCTCTGGTGGACAAGCTGTGTCAGGACTGGATGGCGGGAATGCCCCTCCTAGTCCTGCTTGACCTTTTGATGGCATTTCATATCATCAACCAGGATATCCTCCCGCTTCATCTGTGACAGCTTGGGATTGGAGTCATGGTTTTACAGTGGTTCTTCCTCAGCAGCAATTCCAGTCAGTGGTAGTAGGAGAAGAGATGTTGGATCCTTGTGTATTCCCTTGCAGGATCCCACAGGGACTGGCCTTCTCACCTCTTGTTTAATCTCTACATGAGGCTATTGGGAGAATTCATCCTTCTCTTTCGGTTGAGATACCACAAGTGTGTGATGATATCCAGCTTTACATCATCACCCCAAGCCAAGCAGAGAAGCTATGGAAGTCTTGACCCAGAGCTCAGAGGGTCTGCATAAGCTGAAGATGAATCTAACAAGATAGAGAGCTATTTGTCCAGAGACTATCTGGTTCTCTGCCTGCTCCACTGGACCCTCCACTGGACTCCACTCTAGATGTGGTGGCACTCCCTCTGAAAAAACAGCTTGGGTATCTTCCTGAACCCACAGCTACTGCTGGAAGGGCAGATGGAAACTGTAGTTACCATTTACAGCCTGGAGTGGAAAGACCTGATGATGATTCATGTCCTTCTCACCATCGGGGAGGACTACTGCAATCCACTCTACATGGGGCTACCTTTGAAGACTACTCAGAAACTGGAATTGATGCAAAATGCAGCTGCCCGCAGGCTGGTGGGTGAGAACCATCCCAGCCATATGAGAACTATAATGTGGATGCTGTGTTAGTTTCCACTAGGTTTTTAGGCAGAATTTAAAGTATTGGTGTAACCTTTCCAGCCATAACATTCAAGCCAAACAACTTGGCTTCCAGGTACTTGCAGGACTCCCCCTGGTAGAATCAACTCATCCAGTTCACTCATTTTGAGTTGAA